TGTTGCGATGATGGTTTTTTTGGGGGGATTTTTTTTTGTTAAGAGGAATGCTTTGTGTAATTTAACATTTAAAAATATCCTCATTTTGTTTGATATAATTTCAAATGAAGCGATTAAAAATTTCATGAAATTATCACACACAGAATCTCACTATTGTCAATTTGTTAGAGAGATGAATTCTTGATAATACTGTCCTGGAGAAATGATCCCAGTATGTAGCACCATTAAGAAGTGCCTAAAGACAATACGACAGCTTGACCCAAGCCTTATGAGTGAAATTGTGTAGACTGGATTATTCGGACGCTGTCAACAGCTGTGCTAGCACAAAGTTACAAGTCATCACGACTGAAGGTTTGAGTGTATCAACCTAGTTCAAACTGTTGATCCCACAAGATTATGTGCTCTCTCTCCCAGAAACTGCTCCACCTCAAGTTGGCTCCATGATGGTTGAAGTAATATGAATGTACTCAACACAGGCAGCTGCAACAGGGATTAGCTGCCACTCTAGCAGACTGGCATACTCAAATACAAGCATGTGTCATCCAGACACCACATAACATCAAAGGCAGTACATTTTGTGGTTAGCACGGTAATGTTAAAATGCTTTCCCTTAGATAATGAAGCAACCACCAAATCCAATTGGTTAATTGATTCCCAAATCATTTCTCATAATCTTAGTTTCATAAAGAAAGAGAGAGATAACTTTGAGTCTATGAACTGCTACTTAGTGTTGTTGCCCTTAATCCGAATAATAATCAAGAAAGAATCCATAACCTACCTGCACTCTTTTTCATCAGCCATACTGTTGTAACTGTGATGATACTTTACTAATAGTAATAAAGTTGTGATAATGAGCATTCACAAATAATTGTCCTGTAATTGTCTCTAAGTGGAAAGTGACTTGACAAAGTTGAAACTATTGAAGATGACACTTGAGAAGTACAAAATAAGTAATATTAATAATAATGACTGTGCATCAAAATAAAGTGTGTGTGTGTGTGTGTTTACGGACCACCTAATACCATAGAGTATCACAATATATACAAGGAGACACAAACAATATTGGATATATGGCACTACTTAAATTGATTGGCCTATTCATAAAAAGAGGAAAAATTTGGGAGAGGAATCATTTTTGCTTATTAGCATTCATTACACCTCCCTCAAGCCATGACATTTATCAGAATTGTAAAATAGATTTTTTTGTCATATTAGAAGTGGTGTC